TGATAAAAGTTCTTATGAAATTGTGTCAAAAGGTTTATCTAGAAAAATAGGATATGATATTTTATCATCATCAATCAATTGATTTATTCTATTAACCCACATCAGCACACCTGGGGTCCAAATGGACCTAACGATTTTCTCGGTTCTATATCTTTATACATAATCGTTACAAATTTATATCAATTCATGTAACTGTCAAGCAGAAACCATGGATCAATATGGCATTATTGTTTTCAAAATAGACATACGGAGCACATAGCTATAATCTAATATTCATCTGGGGTCCACACGGACCCCATACTATCATTCACCATTACTATATATATATATATATATATATGCAGTTCGCTTTATAACATACAAAACAAATGTCTAAACGTTTATTTTACAATATAGGCTGTTGTAGAGGATAATCCATCAAAGTAATACAGTATCATCTCGTCTGTTTGCTTATAGCATCATTGTGGTAAGCATGGATGCACATCTCATTTCATAACAAGTGTTCTCTGTGATAGCTACTTATAATGTGGTTATTGGATTTTCAATCTATAGCCTACTATAAGGATACATTTGTGTTGGGGTCTGGTCAGCTTTCTTTAAGTTGAATTTGCAGTATTTCGGTAATCTCATCATATATTGGTGGATAATGACTTGAATATATGAGTATAATAAAACTTCGACATTTTTTGATACTGTTTGTATAATGAGTGGTTTAATACTACTTATTTGTATACTGAAGAACAACGTAATTTTGAAATTTCTTGATTTGTCAACATATGTCCTTTAGAATACATATATTTTTATATTTTTCACAATGTATGCTAACCCTAAAAATTGTAATGTAATAGAGTTTTGGAATTTCAATTCAGTAGCTTACTATAATTGCAATTTTGTGCTCCACAACGTAACTTTTCAAAGATGCTCGACTCGTAAACTGAGGGTCGTGGGTTCGAATCCCCATCCCACCAAACATACTCATCCTTTCAGCCGTGGGGGTGTTATAATCTGATGGTCAATCCCACTATTCATTGGTAAAAGAGTAGCCCAAGAGTTGGCGGTGGTTAGTTATGACTACCTGCCTTTTCTCTAGTCTTTCACTGCTAAATTAGGGACGTTTAGTGCAGATAGCCCTCGTGTAGCTTTGTGAGAAATTCAAAACAAACCAAACTGATGAGGGTTAACCACTGTAAATAGTGCATCTTTTGTGGTCAATTTTTACGATATCCAAATTGAAGATTTGAGAAAAAACTTATTGAATCTAAAAATTTGATTATTCTTTTTTAACAATCTCCTCAATAATTTTTAATATAACTGATAATAAAGGAATCAGTCTGTAATTATTCAAATCACTTTTATTTCCTCCTTTAAATGTTGGTGTAATGAAAGTATATTTTAAATATCTGGCAAAACTGTTTTTCTATTGACATTATAATTAAATACGTTACTACTGGCGTCAATTGTTCAATACCATTTTTGATCATTTCAGCTGTAATTTTATCTTTTCCTCCAGCATTTCAGTTTTTTAGAGAGTTTATAATGTATTTTCAATTTCATATTCCTCAGTTGGTATCAGATACATAGAATTTACAATGATGCTAGTTTTATTCCATGTTTCATCCGTTTGATCTCTATTAAAACAATTACAACAATTTTACTTTAGTTCAGTTGCATTATTTCTACAAAATTCATTAAATATACTTACATATAATTTGGTTTTTTCGATAAACTTAATATACTTAATATTTACTGTCATACTTTCAAATTTTTCTGCATATTCTGTTATCTCAATTATTATGTCCTACTGTTTTTCAAATATTAGTTTGACTATGAATTACATTTGTTTATAATGATTTATCTTATATGCCTACTTAGATCATTTCTATAATTTTAAAATTCAACCAATTCATTATAGGTTATTAATTATGTTACGTACTGAGAATTTAAAATAGTCCAAAGCCGATGTTTTAGTTAATTTACGCTATTTTCCAACAAGATTGACACACACACCATCTTCGTTCTTCAACAAATACGTTTTAATATATATGTATATATACAACAGTACAATTTACAACAACAATTATTACCAATAGTTACCATAAGCAAAGTTTTATAAACAACAATTTCACTAACATACAAACAACAAAGAATCTTCTTTCTAGTTCAGAGTCTCCTTAATATCCAGCGAGTTAACTTGAAGTCGATGTACGTACAATTGCCGAGAAGCCAGCTCGCTTTGTCAGACACTAAATTGTTGGACCATCGAAGAGAATATTTTCATAAAACCACTAATGTCCGATGAGAATTCAGTAATACTTTCGGAAAGATACTAATGTCTGATGAGAATCCACTGACGTTCGAAATTTATAACTGTTCCTGGTCAAATGTCGTATATTTCCGGTTGATAAGGGTTAGCAAAATCACGATTTATAGTATACACGGTTATAGCAGGTTCCTAACAGACATATAAGCTCTCTCTTTTTTTGGCGCGTTGCCTTTTATAAGCGTTGGAAAGAGTTTCTCAACAATACCAGCTATATTTAACCTGTTACAGAAGTGGATATATTTTCGATTCATGCGTTCACGAATATTCTACAACCTAGGCATATTTTTACATATAAACTAATCCCAACAGACGTTGTCATTAAAATAGATATATAACAAATTCGTTACACGCAATACATATCTGACACTACAAGTTACGCATATTTTTAAATACAAATTTAATCTAAACAACGTTCATAATAAAAATAAATACATAACAATAAACTCGTTACAATTTATATTTTTCTATTTATCATAAGTACGGTAGCACGTATAGTAGGAATGGGGTGGATACACAATACATTCAATACAAACTATTTACTCATATACATCTTAAACAACCAAATAATAAATTTTCAAAAGTATTTGATAGACGCCCTTAGGTAACAAACAAATCACATACAAAATTACAAGTCGTAGAATAACTCGAGAATGTCAGAAGAGCAGACACAAAAATTAACAAAACCACTAATTTCTCAATCTCACTGACTGACAGACATTGTTGAACGCTTCTGCCTGTATAACAAACAGACTTACCATAGTTATAAGTGTACCAAATAGAACAATTGCACAGGGACCACGTTTTAGTGCTAACATGAAGTATTTAATTAAATTAATTAACTAATTTAACAACCCTTAATATATGCACACAACCACAACTCACACTACATCACTCAAATGAAATTGCACACTATAGAGTGTGTGCCATCACACGTACAACACACATGCACACTCACAATGTGTACACACACCATAAGTGAAGAGAATGCACACACATACACCATTATTTGCACATATCATAATATCATGGTGCACATCCACACTAATGATATACATACATGATATCAACACAAATGAATGAATGATGTATAAGTTCATGCCACCTAGTATGAAAAAAAAAGATGAACAAGTAGAAAAGATATTATAAAAGAAATTGAAAGTGTAGGAATGGGTGCATTGAAAAATGAGAAAACAAGGTAGGAATGGGCATGGTGTAATAAAACTTCCTGTGTACAACCTCACAAGGGACGTCTCCAACATTTTCCTTTTTCTGTTTACATAATATTATACAACTTATGGGTACATAAAAAAAGTGTGTCTATGATTCTTCTACTTTTGTATAGGCAGTAACGAATCCATGACGTTGATACACAGAAATATCTTTGGATAATTTTAATCCACCTATATAGCTAATGTATGAAATCCTGTTGCCTTCTCATGCAATTGCGAACGGAGGGACAAGTTGTAAAGAAAAAAACATACAAGTTATAGGTCCACACGAATATCTGATTTTTCTAGTGTTCTATAAACAGACTTTACAGTACATGTATTGCCTCCAATAATTCGATTCACAAAAACTTCTAGTCATTGTATGATAAGCATAACTAAATTT